AAAGCTACACAGAGAAACCCTGTCTCGAAAAAACAAAAAAAAAAAAAAAAAAGAGATGGCACCTTGAAATAGGCAGTGGGATTTGCTCAGGCAGGCAAGCCATGTAACAATTTGTCATTGTGACAGACATAGAGGAGGTCAAGGAAATTTGCTGGTACCATATCTCCCTAAGTCATATCCCAGAAGGGCATGTATTTTGTTAGTGAAATTAGAGTCCCTCAAATAGATTCTTCAGTATATTAATATCTCTGCTGAACTTTTGGATATTTCTGCTTACGACTTGATTATCTTTGTGTCTGTCAAATTTCAAACATGCCACAAGAAAGACATATTTCTAGGTATCTTTGAGTTTTAAAAGAGCAATTTCATTGCACAATATTTTTAAGCCCTTGATGAAATTGTGACTCAAAATAGAGTAAAATAAGATCTCTAAAAAATAAAATAAAATAAATCTTTTTGCTAGTCTAGGAACCCAAATCTCTCCAGGTTAAACTGCATTTACCTTCCATGGAAGCTGGCAGGAATGTATGTCAGGACTGTAACCCTCCAAGCCGATTAGTCTCAGACTCCAACATCAACACAATAAACACAGAAATATTTCCCACCTAGTTTGAAAAAGCTGTGTGCTGGAGAAATAAACTGAGAAAAATGAGGATCTCAGAGAAGGCTAGGAAACTCTGAACCCCCGGAGAAAGGCAGCACTAGAAACAGAGGGACGTGTCATGGAGTGGCAGGGAAAAGACTAATCTCTGGGTCAAAGGGAGGGGCAGGCACCAACTCCAGCACGGAACTAGCAGACGCTCAAAACCTGCCAATTACAGAGTGGAGCTGTGCAACAGCGTCTCCCACTCCCACGTGTCCAGGAAGGGGCTCATTAGGAGGCAGCTAGCAGGCACACTGCCTCTAAGAGAGGGAAGGGGATGCCAATCACTCTCCCTGGTCTCCATTGGATACCTGTTTGAAGAGCTGCACATTTGTTCTGTGCCTCATGCCCTAAAGGTTTGGAGACCATCTTGATTTTGTATGCAAATCATGCATGGATTTTTCTTGAGAAAAAAATTGTACTGAATTCAGACTATGGTGCTTAAAACTGGAAAAGAAAAGAATTGGACAGATGGGTACAGAAATAGGAAGGTAATTTTCATCTACCTATGTCTTTATGTATTTAGTTTACAAAGCATACAAAAATGTCATTTATTCAAATATAATTAGAGTGCATACAGTTGATCTCTTTTAGACAATGGTGAAAATAAGTTCTTACTCTCCCAAGCTGCCCTTTCAGGGAAACACAAGTGGACATTCCTTCAGTCTTCCTGTCAAACATCTATCTTTAAGCTGAGCTGAGGATTCTTGACAATCTCTTCACCCAGTGGGCATTAAAATCCTAAATTCAGAATCCATGGATTAACCAAACACTTTCTGGACAGAGCAGTGGTTTGCTAACAGAAATAAGCTTAAACTTGTGTTTCCTTTTCTCATTAATTGACAGGCTAACAAGCACTCCATCTATGAGTGTGTTGGCTGTGTCACTGTGATTGCACGGCATGCTTTATTCATGAGAGAGGCCACAGACTGCTCCAGGGATCATCTGAGCCAGTTTCTGCCCCTCATAAGTGTCAGAAAGGTCCATATAATGACAACCACCAGTTAAAGGCTCTCCCTCCCCATGCTGCATTGGAAGATAATTAAAGCCTATTCCAATAATATGTTCAACATCCTTATTCAGAAATTTAATTTCCACTACCTCAGACAGGCACCAAAATGCTTTAGGCCACCTGCTGGCAACACCACAGTGCATGGTGATGACAAGAATGGTGTTGCAAATTGGCTTTGTTCATGCCCAGCCAAAGAGAGGAAAAGGCCTGGCAGCAGACCCACTGATAGTGTTGAGATGCCTGAGCTCCACTGCCAAAAAGCTCTGGCAACAACCCCCCAAAGAACCATTTCATTAAAAATAAACAGACCACTAAAAGGAGATGTTATATATAGTATATTAAATAAGAGGATCCAATTCTGATATGTATGGTTTCCACAAAACCTGAACCTCTGCTGTGGGGTATGCCAGCTCTCTGTAAGGAGCTGTGCAACAGGTCTCATTGAAAAGACAGTATGTTGCCAGGTGAGAGTGGCCCATGTCTTTAATTCCAGCACTTAGGAGTCAGAGGCAGTGAGTTCGAGGCCAGCCTGGTGTACAAAGTGATTTCCAGGACAGCCAGGACTGTTATACAGAGAAACTGTCTCAAAAAACAAACAAACAAAAAAAAACCCAGTATGTCCAAGAGCAGACCATTAGATGATGACAACAGAAAGGAGTAAACAGAATGTGGATGGAGATGGGGTGGAGGATTAGATAACTACATAGGTAGATAATTAGATCGCTATATATAAAGACGTGACTACCTAGAGTCTGAAGCAAGGGGTAGACAAGAATGCCGTGGAGTTCCATAAATGTAGATTCTATTATTGGCATAAAACAAACAAAAGAGCAGATGGTCCTGTCAGCAGCACAGACAATCTTCACACAGCTACTTAACCTTTCTGAGTTGGTGCATGAATATATAGTGAATATTTAAATAGACTTATATTTCTGAAATTAAATAGATAGTTTTATACACAAAAACATAGGGTAAGTGGGTTTTTTTTTTCATTTTTTCCTGCTAAATAAAATAAAACCCTAGGCATTGTAGGTAAAATAAACATAACTCTAAAAGAATACAGACAGGCTTTTGGGACTCAGAAAGCTTTGAGACAGGGAGTGCTCCATGGTTCCCCCTCCCCCATATCTCAGCCTGAGTGCTAGGGAAACGAGGCTTAAGAAATCCCAATGGGGAAGACAACAGGAATCCTTAATAAAAGAAACACGAAAGCAGCAGCTACAAGACCAAAAAGAAAAACTTCTAGCAAACACAAACTCTACGGTACTTAAGGGTCATTACAACCTACGGTGCAATGCTCCATGGTGTCCTCAACTCGCACACTTGCACCCTCTCCAAGCTGGGAGAAGAGCCTGTGGTTACCCTACCAGAGCAAATATTCAACCAAAGAAAGTTAAGGAGGTCAGGACTTGGTTTCTTCAATTGCAGAAGGAGTTGACCATGGTGGTGCATGCTTGTAAACCCAGTACTCTAGAGGCTGAGACAGGAAGACTCAGAGCTTTAACATAGTCTGGGCTATGTATTGAGACTCTGAAAAAGAGAAAGGAGAGAGGGGGGGGGGGAGTACAATTGCAAAAACAAGTCCTTAACCCTAACCCCACCATAATGTTAGCAGATCCCAAAGGATGAATCTAGAAGCACTTCTTGCTTGCTGAGGATGTGTAAAAGGAGCCCTTCTAGAAACAGACACTCCCTAGCTTCACCTGTAACGGCTTCTGTCTTATTTAGGGTTTCCATTGCCATGAAGAGACTCCATGACCATAGCAACTCTTATAAATGAAAAACCTTTAGTTGGGGTGCCTTACACTTTCTGGAGTTTGCTCCATTGACATCATGGGAGGATATGGCAGCAAAGAGGCAGACGTGGCTGGAGAAGGAACTGTGAGTTTTACATCTTGATCTGCAGGGAACAGGAAGTGAACTGTGTGTCACACTGAGCATAGCTTTAGTAAAGGAGACCTCAAAACCCACCTCCACAGTGACACACTTCCTCTAACAAGGTCACACCTACTCAAACAGAGCCACACCTCCAAATAGTGTCACTCCCTTTGGGGGCCATTTGTTTCCAGCCACCACAGCTCCCCTCTATCTCTCAGCCAGGGAAATATTAATCAGACATAACAGGGAGCCAGAACTCTTACTTCCAATCAGGTGTAACAAGACCTCTTGCCTCTAATGTCGATATACTCCAACTGGTAGCTTAGATTTCTCCCCAGAGCTGGTAATCTCAAGGCTGGCCTCTCCACTCTGTGGCAGAAGGACAGAGAAAACTGTTGAAAATAGAAAGTTAACTATGATTCATTGTCTCACAAACCAATAACCAACACCAGTTTTTAATTTAAAAATTCATCCAGGGGCTAGAAATGGCTTAATCAGTAAAATGCTTATTATGAAAGCATGAATATCTGAGTTCAACACCCATCAAACACATAAAAACCAGGTGCAGTAGCAGGCTTCTGTAATCCAAGCACTGGGGTGGCAGAGACAAGTCGATCCCTGTGACTCAGAGTCAGCGAGCCTCGCAAGATCAGCAAGCTCCAGGACAGCCAGAGACCCTGTGTTGAGAGCTAAACTGAAGAACAACTGAGGAAGACACCTAACACCCAGGCCTGCCCTTCACATACCCTTCCACACACGAACACACATGCAAACTATCCATCGTTATTCAAAACCCCAAATCGCTTACATTGAATGACAAAAATTGTCAGTAAATACCAAAGCCAAGATGGCAAGGCTGTAGGCGTTATCTAACAGATTTTACAGTGACCGAGAGCCAGGAGTGAGAGGACAAACAGCGTCATCTGGACTTGGCAAGAGCACTTCCCTCAGACTCCTGACAACTCTGGTTGACAGGAGCTGCACAGGAGCCGCACAGGAGATGCACAGGAGATGCACAGGAGATGCACAGGAGATGCACAGGAGATGCACAGGAGATGCACAGGTCAAGCTGCACAGGAGCTGCACAGGAGCTGCACAGGCCAGGCACCTCAGCACAGAGGGAGAGGTGCTCATTAGCCCTCACCCTACCTGAGGTGCTGTTGACAGTTGATGACTTCCAGGAGAGGAAGTGTCCAGGGAGGTCAACCAAGCTCCAGTGGGTGACCCCACACCATGACTATATGGACAGCACAAACTGAACTCAGTGAGCTACATGAAAAGAAAAGGACATGAAGTTGGGAGACAGTAGGAAGATGGGGAGTGGATATGGATTTGAGAGGAGTTGGAGGGAGACGTGGAGGTAAATATGAGTAAAATACATTGTATTAAACTCTCAAAGATTAACAAAATGTTATATTAAAATGTTTTACAAGCAATTACACACATTCAAATTAGAATTTTTTTCTTGAAGATTGTTTTTACTTTTTTTCAATATATTTTCATTGACACTTTGGGAATTCCATATCACACACCCTGATCACACTCATTTCCTAGGCCTTCCATGCCCAACCCGTTGTGACCCCCCCACACACACACACCAAAACAACCAAAAAAAGTCCAATTTTCATCATCTATATACTCACTGAAATGTGGTCAAATTCTCAGTGGCCTTAGAACTGAGTCCTTCCCTCCCCATACCTCTACCAGAAGCCATCACTTGAGGACTGCTACCCTTCAGCACCTTTATTACACCTTTTAAGATGGCTTCCTGTTTAGGCTGCTACTTTTTGGGCGGTTGGGGAGGGGGTATAGGTTGTCAGAGAAGCCTTCCATCTCCCCTTTCTCAACTGTGCATCTCAGTCACCAATATCCCTGCAAAAGTAGCTTCCTTGCTCTTTAGAGTCAGCAAGGTAGCACAGACCATGGGCTCCCACCTGGTTTCTGGCAACAACACAGACCATGAACACTCCAGCTGCAGTAGGCCACAGTCCCAGAAAAGGCCCCAGCAGCAGCATGGATCACTGATATTAACATGGTCTCAGGTGGCAGAACAGACCACAGACAACATATGGCCTTCAGGGGTAACATGGGCCACAGACATCAACACAGCCTCAGGCTGCAATATGCCTTGGAAGCAGACATGGCCCTCATCAGCAGTACAGATATCAGACATCACCATGGCCTCAGGTGGCAGTGTAGAGCACTCACATAAGTATAGCCCCCAGCAGTGGCACAGCCCACAGACATCAACATGGCTTCAGGTTGCAGCATAGCCCACCGATTCACATTACAATGTTTAAATACTGTCAGAAAAGAAACAGAAGGTGTACTAAAAAGCCAAATGAAAATGTATAAAATACTGGAAACTTTCTCAGCATCAGAATTGGAAAAGAAAAAAAATTCAGGAAACTGAAGTAAAACAACAAAAAATATACAATATAAAATTTACAGCAAGCCAACAGCCAACATCAAAGTAAATGGAGAGAAACTCAAAGCAATTTCACTAAAATCAGGAACAAGACAAGGCTGTCCGCTCTCCCCATACTTATTTAATATAGTACTTGAAGTTCTAGCCAGAGCAGTAAGACAACATAAGGAGGAGATCAAGGGGCTACAAATTGGAAAGGAAGAAGTCAAGCTTTCACTATTTGCAGATGACATGATAGTATACATAAATGACCCCAAAAATTTGACCAAGGAGCTCATACAGCTTATAAATACCTTCAACAATGTAGCAGGATACAAAATTAACTCAAAAAAATCTGTAGCCCTCCTATATACAAATGACAAAGGGGCTGAGAAAGAAGTCAGAGATACATCACCTTTACAATAGCCACAAATGATATTAAATACCTTGGGGTAACACTAACTAAGCAAGTTAAGGACCTGTATGACAAGAACTTTAAGTCCTTGAAGAAAGAAATTGAAGAAGATATCAGAAAATGGAAATCTCCCATGCTCATGGATATGCTGTAGATATTGCTTTGTATAAATAAAATGCTGATTGGCAGTAGCCAGGCAGGAAGTATAGGTGGGACAAGCAGAGAAGAGAATTCTGGGAACAGGAAGGCTGAGGCAGAGAGACGCTGCCAGCTGCCATGATGAGAAGCAACATGTTAAGATACCAGTAAGCCACAAGCCACGTGGCAACTTATAGATTAATAGAAATGGGTTAATTTAAGATATAAGAACAGTTAGCAAGAAGCCTGCCATGGCCACACAGTTTGTAAGCAATATAAGTCTCTGTGTGTTTACTTGATTGGGTCTGAGCAGCTGTAGGACTGGCGAGTAAGAGAGATTTGTCCTGACTGTGGGACAGGCAGGAAAACTCTAACTACATGGATAGGTAGGAATAACAAAAAAAATGGCAATCTTACCAAAAGCAATCTACAGATTCAATGCAATCCCCATCAAAATCCCAACACAATTCTTCACAGACCTGGAAAGAACAATACTTAATTTCTTATGGAAAAACAAAAAGCCCAGGATAGCCAAAAGAATTCTGTACAATAAAACAACCTCTGAAGGCATCATGATCCCTGACTTCAAGTTCTACTATAAAGCTACAGTAATAAAAACAGCTTGGTATTGGCCTCAAAACCGACATGTGGACCAATAGAATTGAACTGAAGACCCTGACAATCTGCACACCTATGAACATATGATTTTTGACAAAGAAGCCAAAACTATACAATGGAAAGAAGAAAGCATCTTCAACAAATGGTGCTGGCATAATTGGATGTCAACATGTAGAAGACTACAAATAGATCCTTGTCTGCCACTGTGCACAAAACTTAAGTCCAAATAGATCAAAGGTCTCAACATAAATCCAGTTACTTTGAACCTGATAGAAGAGAAAGTAGGAAGTAGTCTTGAATGCATTGGCACCAGAGATCACTTCCTAAATATAACACCGGTAGCACAGACACTGAAAGAAACAATTAATAAATGGGACCTCTTGAAACTGAGAAGCTTTTGTAGAGTAAAGGATATGGTCAACAAGGCAAAGGAACAGCCTACAGAATGGGAAAAGATCTTCAGCAACCCCACATCTAACAGAGGACTGATATCCAGAACATATAAAGAACTCAAGAAATTACACATCAAAATACCCAGCAGTCCAATATAAAAAATGGGCTATAGAGCTAAACAGAGAATTCTCAACAGAAGAAGCTCAAATGGCTGAAAGGCATTTAAGGAATTGTTCAACATCCTTAGTCATCAGGAAAATGCAAATCAAAATGACTCTTACACCCATCAGAATGGCTAAAATCAAAAACATTGAAGACAGCTTATGTTGGAGAGGATGTGGAGCAAGGGGAACACTCCTCCACTGTTGGTGGGAATGCAAACTTGTACAGCCACTTTGGAAATCAATATGGTGCTTTCTTAGAAAATTGGGAATCAATCTCCCCCAAGACCCAGCTATACCACTCTTGGGCATATACCCAAGGAATGCTCAATCATACCACAAGGGCACATGCTCAACTATGTTCATAGCAGCATTATTTGTAATAGCCAGAACCTGGAAACAACCTAGATGCCCTTCAACTGAAGAATGGATAAAGAAAATGTGGTACATATACACAATAGAGTACTACTCAGCAGAGAAAAAAAATGACACCATGAAGTTTGAAGGCAAATGGATGGAACTAGAAAAAAAAATCATCCTGAGTGAGGTAACCCAGACTCAGAAAGACAAAGATGGTATGTACTCACTCATAAGTGGATACTAGATGTAAAGCAAAGGATAACCAGATGGCAACTCACAACTCCAGGGAGGCTACCTACTAAGAGGACCCTAAGAAAGACACAGGAATCTCCCAATGATAGAGAAATGGATGAGATCTACATGAGCAAACTGAAGGTGGGGGAGTAATGGAGGTCAAGGATGGGGGAAAGAGAGCTTAGGGGAGCAGGAGGTCCCAGCTGGATCAGGACCAGAGTGGGAGAACGGGGAGGGAGATACCATGATGATGAATGAAGACCCCAGGGGAATAGAAAGAAGCAGAGTGCTAGAAAGATCCCCAGAAATCCACAAAAATACCTCCACTATAGACTACTGGCAATAGTTGAGAGAGGACCTGAGCTGACCTACTCTGGTCATCGGATGGCCGAACACCCTAACTGTCATGATAGAACTCTCATCCAGTGACTGATGGAGGCAGATGCAGAGATCCATGGCCAGGCCCCAGGTGAAGCTCCAGGAGTCCAACCGGCAAGAGAGAGGAGGGATTGTATGAGCGAGAAATATTGACACCATGATTGGAAAAAGCACAGGAACAAATAGCCAAACTAGTGGAAACCCATAAACTGTGAACCAATGGCTGAGGAGCCCCCATGGAACTGGACAAGGCCCTCTGGATAAGTGAGACAGTTGATTAGCTTGAACTGTTTGGGAGGCCCCCAGGCAGTGGAGCTGGGACCTGTCCTTGGTGCATGGGCTGGCTTTTTGGAGCCTGGAGCCTATGCCGGGACACTTTGCTCAGCCTTGGTGTAGAATGGAAGAGACTGGACCTGCCTTGGCTGAGTCTACCAGGCTGGACTGACTCCCCAGGGGAAACCTTGCCTTAGAGGAGGTGGGAATGGGGGAGGTAGATTGGGGGAAGGGATGGGGGGTGGGAAGACGGAGGATGGGGGAAATCCGTGGCTGATATGTGAAATTAAGTTAATCATAAAATAAAAATATTTTTTAAAAAAGAAAAAGAAAAATGAGCAAAAAAATTACCTGGGGGCTATAAAACTGTAACTACAATTATATATATACTATATATATATATATAATATATACACAATCATATATATATATATATATATATATATACACACAATCATAACTTTGACACATCACCAAGTCCTGGGAGTAAAAGAGAAAAGTGATTTGCTGAAGAGTACAAGAAAAAATAATGACTGATAATTCCCAAAATTTAATAAAAGACATGACTTTATTAGTGCCACATGCTGGAGACACTGGGACATACCAAGACATAATCAAAAGCTGAAACTTAAGTAGTAGTGTTGGCTATTTTTATGGCAGCTTGACACAAGCAAGAGTCATTTTGGAAAAAGGAAACTTCAATTTTAAAAAAATGTTCCCTCCAGATTGGTCTGTGGGAAAGCATGTTCATGACTGATGTGGGAGGGACCATCTCACTGTGGACAGTACCACCCTGAGGCCAGTCAGTAGTCATGGATGCAAAGCAAGCAGGCTGAGCAAGCCAGTAAACAGCACCCCTCCACAGCCCTGCATCAGCTCCTGTGTCCCAGGAC